GAAAATAGAGTAATTGTATTCAAAGAATAAGCTCTCGAATCAAACACAAATTTACGAATGTGACTCTCTAAGTATATAAATGCCCCTACAATTTAACACCATCAATACTAAAGTTGTGGAACATGCGGCAATTACCTACAAAAATTGAAAGAATTTCAGGAATGGAATCAATGAAAGGAACTAGAATCAGTGAATCAAAAATTGTAGCTCATAGTTCATACCTTGAAGGAGAATAGAGATGTTGCAGAAGAAGGTACAAGTCTTGTGAGAAGAATTCGAGGAGAGGTTTCATGTAAGGAACTAGGGTTTCCTTAAACGCGCCGGATGACGAAGGGAACGAACTAGCATACACACCGACGGAATGTGGGCTTGAAACCTCAACATCGTCGGCTAGGTGGAGGAGGTCGATAGCGGTGTGGATGTTTTTCACCGCCGGTAGCAGGACCTCCCAGAGTTCCTGATCGCCGCCGCCTAGAACCTCGTTTCTGACTATAATTCCACAGATACGGGTCCCGAGGATGAAGGTTTTGACATTGTTTTTCACCCAATCCATGGCTCGATCCTGGCTTGTGCTTATATCTCTCAAGAATTCGTTTCCTAGCCCGATAATGATCTTGATTCCCGATCCTTTGAACGCTTTGAGAACTTCATGATCGGCGTCATAGATTCTTGTTGTGCGAGAAAAGAGGAGCGGTGATGATATTAGGGTTTTTTTTGGGTATTGATCAGTGAGAGAGAAGAATGATGGAAATAAGGTAGAGGATAAAATGGCGGCCTTTCAAACTTTTGAGATTTTCATTTTCCCCCAAGCTGCGAAAGAATAAAACACGCGTTTTATTAAATAAAATATAAAGCGAAATCTCTACACGACACTCATTTTAACATAGGTGCCCTCCGTTTTTTAATTTTTTTTGGACACTAGTTTTAGGACACGCAAAAATGTGTGTCCTCTATCCTTCATTTTTTTAAAGGGCAGTTTTCTAGTAGTGATTAAGACCTCGAATCCATCTCATCCAAAAGTTAAAGGGGGCCCCTAAGGTCTATAAAAATGCTTCCTTTACGGCCATGCATGCACCAAGTATGATCTATCCATTTTCTAGGTCTAAAGTGAATAAATGAGCTTCAATCTTTCATGCATGCCTCAAATCCATACCAACTTTCAGATATGAACAATATGATGATCTAGGGACTCTTAGAATCATAAAGTTGCCAACTTTATGGATTCCTAACACTCTAACTCATAAGATCTTGGATAAATATGCATAAAACTTTAGATCTAGCAATAAGAAAACATAAAGCTTGGATCTTGATTACTCACATTGGTCCAGAAGTGTGGCTAAAGGTTGCAAATGAAGCTTTCAAGCTGCAACTATACTTCCATGGTGTTCTCCTCTTCTTCAAACCTCCAAAACTCCATCAAAAGTTCAAGAAACACAAGGAGAGGTTAGGGTTAGGGTTTTACTGAGTTAGGGGATGAAGGAGGCTGGTTTGGAACCCTAAAATGAGTTTTATGGGGTTTAAATATGATGGAAACCCTAAAATATCGTGGGCTTGGGCTGCAGCGCACCTCACGTCTTGAGCCATTATTGCTCACGTCGTGAGCTTAGTTTAAATCAGCATTTCCGTTTAATCGCTTCTCACGTCGTGAGCTCCAACTAGTTTTTCCCCCCAAATCCTTTACAACTTCGAACAATCATAACTTCTTCGTTTCAACTCCGATTTCGACGATCTTTATATCCACGAAAATGTGTTGAGAAGCTCTACAACCCTATCAACCCTCCTTTGCCTTGAAACTTACTAAACTTAAACCCAAAATTCATAAAAGGCTCGAACTATCACTTTACAGTTATACCCTTGGGCTCCAAAGCACCAACTGAACTTTCGGATCGCCTAATATACATTACCCACATCCAAAAGGGGTATAAATCTCTCTTTCCACCAAAGCCCGAAGCCTTATGATGATCGATCTTCGGGTCACGGCCCCGAATTAGGAAACGATTCAGAACAGGGTGTTACATGAATGATGATTTTTGAACAAATTTAAAACTTAGTTACGAAAGCAAGACATTTTTCCAATCGGGTAATATTAACCCAAACAGCCGAGTACCACTGTAAGATGTAATTTGAACAAAACATATACTTAAATGGTATTTTGTATTGGGAGAATTTCGTATATACCCTTATTAAACATTAAAATATCATATTTATCCAACTTAATTTCTAAATATCATATTTATCCTTTATAAACTTTCAAATATCATATTTACCCAAATCTTATTTTTTTAATATTTTTAGACACCTTTTTAATAATTTTAAATCTCTATTTATATTAATTGACTATTATACCCTCTTATAAACCAAATTTAGAATACCAATACTAACCACAACCATCGCTTGAGAAAGAAACCAAATTCAATCCATAATTTTAGGGTTTTTCAATCACAATTTGTTGTTATATAGGCAAATCAACATTAATCAAATTAGGGTTCTTGCTTTCCACATAACTCTCAAAAACCATATTTGTGAATATACTTTAGAAAGCGTTTCTTGGGTTTCTATCGATACTGTAATTAATTGGCATGGAAGATTCACTTTCTTAATCCTTTCTTTATATTTTTTTCTTTTTACAATTTTTTATATTTGAAGTGAGGAAACTCCCTATATACATCTCCAATAATTGACTAAATTTTGGGATTTTTAGATTTGGTAAATTAAGTCTTCGAAGCTTTTATGAGATGGTTTTACGAAATCTCTTATTGTCTGACTCATAGGTTGTTTGACCAATTATTTACTTCGAATCCAATTTGTTCTTCAAAGTTCATAATCAACGATCACGAACACATGATTTGAAAATTAACTTTTTGTTTATATTCATGATTTGAAAGATTAATGATATTTTGAAGTTAAAGTAAAAATAAGGATTTAAAATAATTATAATATATTTAAAAAATAATAAAAATAAGTATTTGGACAAATATGATATTTTGAAAGTTTGTGAAGGATAAATATGATATTTAGGAATTAGGTTGGACGAATTTGATCTTTTGATGTTTAATAAGGGTATATATGAAATTCTCCATTTTGTATTCAAATACCTTAGTTCACTATATTTTTGTACCGATTAAACTTGATATTTTTTGAACAATTTTAAAGGAAAACCACTCTAAAACCCTATGTATTTTACTTTAATGCCTAAATAAACCATTATACTTATTTTATGTCCATTTTAACCATTATTATTTCTCACATTTATTGTTTTAATAAACCTACATGGTCATCCTTAAAGAACCGGTAACAAAAATGTTTTGCACCTAATTCTCCTGCTTCAATTATTACGATCTCCTTCCTCTTCTTCTTTTATGTTCGTTTTCAACCTTAAATAACTGAGCTCTCCCATCAGCACATGAACACAAGTGAGCCAAGAGACAGAAAAGTAACTCCAATACATTCTTTTCAACCCCGTTTATCTCTAGTTCCACCAGCTCGAAGACTGCACCAGCTTCCACAAGCGAGTCGATTAACATTCTTAAGAATGCTTCCGTTGCTTGTGGTGAGGTTCTTTTCCTTATGACGTTTACTGTTTGTTTAAAGAAATCGAACCTTAATCTCTCTAAAACACTTGTAATCGCTACTTACATGACCATTTTGAGCAGCGAAATTGCATGTGTTTGGACATCAATGATTAGATCATCTCCTATCATGTTGTCAAAACCTAAAACCCATAGTAAGGAATCAATTAAATCATGATCTTCTTTGGCGATATGCTTTTTCTCAGGGATAGTTAGCCAAGAAAGATGAAGAATTTTGAGTGCATGGCCGAGTCCTACAGTAATAGTTAGACTTTCCTTATAAAACTTTGTTATCAAGGAAATCATTGCACCATTCGTGCCTGCGTCAATCAAGCACCGTCTGTTCTTCTCACCCTCTCTCGCGAGTAAATGCAAGGTGTCCAGCGAGATTGCATGAAGCTCCGGTGACTTCAGGTTGTGGAGAAGTTTCATAACATGATATTTGTTAAGAATAGGGCAATAGGTTAATGTAAAATCTCTAATTATGTATTATGGCAACTTAGGTGTATGTATCCATTACAAGTTAAAATGTAATTTTGTTATTTTGAAGCAATGATCAAGACCTGCACATTCTAACTGTTATAAAATGGTTTTGTGAATAATTGGATTGTTTCAGGTTCCTTTGTTATGGTTGGACATTTTTACCTTTTTGTTATAGTTGGACAGTTTTAACGTTTTTGTTATGGAATGGAATCAAGATTAGAATGGAATGAAGAATAGAATGTAATTTAATAGATTGTAACATCAAATAGAACAGGAATGGAATGGAATCAAAAAATGAACAGTAACAACAGCTGCATAGGAAGATTGATTCCAGAACAGGGACTGAAAAGAGAACATGACCAATCACCAATTTGTTAACTTCTAAGAACATGACTGTAATTAAAACTTCCATTACTAACAATGTGGACAGGAACTGCTCCCCTGAAAAATAACTTCAAATTTTTGAGTCAAACAAAAGAGAAACCAGAACATTTTTATGTTGCAAATTTTTTTTTTGGATGTTCACGATTTTGCCCTTGATGATCATTTGGGTTTTAGCACACCAAACAGCCACCATTAACAGAAAAATGATTATAATTACATGTTTTCAAGAGTACATTTTTCTGTTTTTTATGATGTTGACAAATTTACCCATGGTGAGGAATTGGGTTTTTAACACAACAAACGACCATCATTAACAGCAAATTGAGTATATTTACATGTTTTTGTCCAAACCAAACAAAACTAAACAGAAACAAACTTAAATTGAACCAAATAAAAGAAATAGAATCGAATGAAACAAACACATTACAGGTTGCATTTTTGTCTCAAAACAAGACAGTTTTGCCCCATACATGACATGACAGTTAAGCTTTTTGAACTGATGTTTTCATGTTGATCAAATACACCAATCTCATGATATATTGCTTCTGTTGTGTTCTTGTTATCTCATGTTATCACAATCACTTGAATCCCAGCTGCTCTGCAGTCTTCAATGGCTTGTCTAACTTCCTTACGTGGAGGATCCTTCACAGATAAATCAATACCGCAATTTACTTTAAGACATTGTACTTTGTAAATCTACGTATAGAAATGAAGACTAAGCATATAGCTGTTTACCCTGAGTCCAGCTAAGCCAACAAAGATCAAGTTACTTTTGATTGAAGAGTAATTTGCTGGATCAAGTAAAAGGTTATGAGCAAGACGATCTTCATCACCATTATATGTAGTGAACTGTGGAGGATCTTCTTTGTATGCGAAACCCAAAACACGTAATGCAAAAGAGGAAAGCTCGTTAAGGCTATCTAAGATAGGTTTTTTTTGACTTGTTGTCAAGTTCCACAACAGAACCATCAAGTAATTGGATGTAGAAACTCCTTTCCAATGGGAACTCATGCCTTCGACGAACAGATTAAACAACAAAGCTTGATCGATTACCTTGTTTTCGTGAAGCTTCCCCTGATCGAAGAAGATTTATGGTCGAGCCTGCTTTGTTTCTTCTTTTCGGTATGTCCGATGGCAGCCTATAAATGACGAAGGGTTTTCCCGTACAGTGATCAGAAACGTGTTTAGGGTTTACCGGATGAAATTAAGGATTAAGCTCATCTGCGATTTCGCATTTCCATCTGCGAATTGTAAGTTCGCAGATGGAACAGTCCATCTGTGATTTGGTGTTTTGTATCTGTGATTTCGTAGAGTTTTAGTATAAAAACGTTTTTTTTTTCTTCATTTTTCACTATTTTTTTTAGAGAAACTCTCTCCTAGCGATTTCCTTAGATCCATAATGGACGATTTCATCAACAATCCCAAAAAGGAGTATATATACAGCGAAAATAACAACAAAAATGATAATTTCTTGAAATTTTTTATATATAATAAGGTTATTTCGTAGTTAAACCCTATAAATTTCGTAGTCAAAATATATATAAAAAAACAAAAAAAATTCATAAAATCGCAGGTGAAACGAGAGGAAATCGCAGATGGACATAGTCCATCTGCGATTTTAGGCTGGAAAAAGGATATATATACAACGAAAAAAAAAACCATCTGCGAACGTACAAGTGGTTAAAGCACATTTGTGCTTTAGCCACTTGTATGTTCGCAGATGGCATGGCGAAATCGCAGATGGGTATAGGCTTATACCCATCTGCGATTTTAGTGGTTAAAAATGCAATTTGAGTTTTTTTTGGCTATTTTCCAGTAATTAGTGTATTAGGCTAAATTTGCAATTTTCTCTATTAATAATAGTTAAAATGGACATAAAATAAATATAATGGTTTATTTAGGCATCGAGGTAAAATACATAGTGTTTTAGAGTTGTTTTGCCCAATTTTAACACCCCGCTCCCGAGTTGTAGCAAAGAAAAGAAGAGAAAAGAAAAGAAAGTAAGGAGAGAAAAGAAGAGAAAATAAAGGAAAACAAAATTTTCATTTGTGCTCCCGAGTTCGAGAGAAATAGAAGGAAAGTTAACATTTTGTTCTTTCTTTTCAAATCCTTCCAAATCGGAAGGAAAGTTAGGAGAGAAAGTTTTTCTTCCATTTGCTTCCACTTCCTTCCTTTAATGAAACCCGGGAGCACCAATCTCTCTTACTTTCCTCTCATTTCCGTCCGTTTCCTTTCTTTTCTCTCCTTAAGTTGATCTCGGGAGCGGGTGTAAAAGTTAATTAGCTGATATACCTGGTAAGTCATTTTCCCCTTTTACCCTCGCTCAAACAATGCAGAGAATCAGAGATGGTGCTCCAAGCTCCTGTCATTCGACGTCGTCCGATTATCTTCACCATTTCCTAAACCTCAACAACTACTTTCTTCCCCCGTTACCACCTCCGCCGCAGTCTCTTCCATTCCTCTGTCCCAAATTACTCATTCTATGATTCCTCCCAATTTTGGTTCCCTGCTATTCTCTGCCCCTTCAACATTACAAGTTACATCAAGCTCTAATAGGTCTTATTCACTTCCTGTCTCTGTAAGTTAGGGTTTATATTTTGCTCGATATTTTTGAATTTGGTATTATATTATGATACAAAATCCGATGAATTGAGGTGGGATAGCTTATGTAAAAATTTGGTTGTTACTATGAACAACAGTTTGCATTCTCTGAGATGCTTACTAGAAAAATGTAGCAAAAACGAGAATCTAATCACCCAAATCCACGCTCATGCCACAACCCTAGGTCTCTTTCGCACTCAACAAGATTTTCGCGTGTAAGCTACTCAACATATACGCCAAAAAGTTAAACAATCCAACCAAAGCTCAGGGGATCTTTGATCAGATTCATAACCCAGATATAGTTTCATGGACTTGTCTCAGGTCTCTTTACTTGCAAAACCAACAACCCTTCAAAACGCTCTCTTTATTTTCTAACATGATCGTGTCAACTGGGTTGAACCCAGATGGGCATTGCATCGTGGCTGCACTTTCAGCTTGTGGCTCTGCTAAGAATCTGGTGGTTGGGAAGATAGTTCATGGGATGGTGTTGAGATATGAGTTGGGTGGTGAAGAACCCATTGTTTCCAATGCTTTGATTGATCTCTACAGTCGAAATGGTCAAATAGGTTTAGCCAGGAGAGTGTTTGAATCCATGGTTGTCAAAGACGTTGCTTCCTGGACAAGTTTGCTAAATGGCCATATCATATGTGGTGATATTGTTTCTGCTGGCCAAGTGTTCGATGAAATGCCTGTGAGAAATGTCATCTCTTGGACTGCCATGATAGTGGGCTATGTCCGAAGCAAAAACGTTATCCATGGATTAAAACTGTTTAGGGAGATGAGAAGTGATTACATTTATCCTACTTCAATCACAATAGTAGCTGTTCTTTCCGGTTGTGCAGATGTTGGTGCCCTTGATTTTGGTGGATCATTGCATGGATACATTAACAAGATATCAAATCTTGTCACTGATGTCTCAGTGAACAATGCTTTGATAGATATGTATTGTAAAGGGGGAAACCTCGAATTGGCCACAAGGGTATTCATGAAAATGTATAAAAAAGATGTCTTTTCTTGGACAAGTATGATTTCAGGATTAGCTCTTCATGGGAAAGGAAGATTAACACTTAAAGTGTTTAATGATATGGTATCAAGTGGAATGACCCCAAATGATGTTACATTTTTATCAGTTCTATCAGCTTGTGGTCATGGAGGACTAATTAAGGAAGGAATGTCTCTTTTTACCAAAATGGTTCATGATTATGGTTTAAAACCAACAATGAAACACTATGGTTGTATGGTGGATCTTGTTTGTAGGGCAGGGGATTTAAAAGAAGCACTCAGGTTGATTGAGATGATGCCTTTTGAACCAGATGCTGTTATCTGGAGATCTGTTTTGAGTGGTTGTATGATGAAAAGAGATGTAGGGTTAGCTGAAATTGTAGCAAAGAAAATAGTGGAATTAGAACCTTATGATGATGGAGTGTATATTCTTGTTTGGAATTTATATCGGTTAACAAACAAGTGGGAAGATGCATTAAAGACAAGAAAGGTTATGAGAAGTCAAAAGATTAAGAAACAGCCTGGGTGTAGTTGGATTGAGATTAATGGTTTTGTTCATGAATTTACTGCAGAGACCACAATTCATTATGAGTTTATGCATACTATTTTACATGTTTTAGGTGAACAACAAACAGTCTGAGATAATATAAATGCTTACACTTATGAATTAAACTAATTTGTCATGAATTCATGTATCATTTTCAACAAATTCAACTTATATAATATAGCAAGATTACTTGTAACTTGTAACTTACAGTTTGAAACATTTGCAGCAAGAAAAGGTCAATGTTCAAGATTTAAAATTGGCATTAGAATACTGAATACCTAACTTCAAGAATCAAGATCAAGAAGAAAAAATTATGCTACACATTATAGAAAAGGGGTAATAAACTATTGGGCATCTATTTAGTAGAGGGGTATTTTAGGTATTTACTTACTGTATTTTGTTATAGCAGATTGCTTAGGAAGAAGGATAGGATCAATCTGGTAGTTATACCTTTGGGATAGGCTAGGCTGTCAAAATCTGTAGCAAATCTTTAGGGCTGTTTATTTGGTGTTTTGATTTTTGAGTGATTTCAATCAAATCAATACATGAAAACTTTTGTATATCTATCTATCTGTTGTTGTTTGTTGATTTTATCCTATAAGTCTAGTTCATAGCAAATTATATGTTTGAGTTAGTGCAACTCAAAAAGTGAAACATGTATCTACTAGGCCTACAATTCATGCCTTGACCTTGAGATTGAGATTTGAGTTTGTTTTACAAAATTAGCTAATATATTTCGATTTGTATATACATTTGGTCACTGAGTTTTTTTTTTCGTCCATATTTACCCTTTCAACTTGTTAAACTGTATACATTCAGTCCTTATGACCGGCTACTCCAGGTTACCCGGTAAAAATGACTTAATAGGGTAATATATTTCTCACTTTGTACACATTTAGTCCTTAATATTTTTGTACACATTTAGTCCTTTTTTTTTTTTTTTGCAAAATAAGTCATTTTTTTGTACTCATTCAGTACTTATGAATGATTTTAGTTTTTTCTCACAAAATCTTACGTGGGACATTCATTAATGAGGTGTATGGAGCTTTTGATGCTTATATCCATCGCGATCTCGACTGCTTGGTTGCTTATGTCATGTGTTCTGAACGTCATAACTTCTTCATATAATCTCGGATTTTAACGATCTTTATATCCATGCGTTCGTATTTTAGTCTACTACAACTTTCATTTAGATTACTCCCATTAAAAAATAATATATTTTTACTTACGATTTTTATATCCATACGCGATGACGGATTTAGTATGGTCCCGATGTTGCACCGACAACACCTGTTTTTTCTGTTCGCAGTGGAAAATTTTTCGCTTTTTTTTTACGTTTATACCTATTTTCCATGTATCGGCAACACCTATTTCATCTCGGCAACACCCTGTCTATACGTTTTTTATGAATGCATGTATGTATGTTTTTTTTATAAAATCGTTAGTAAAAATATATTACATTTTAACGAGAGTAATCTTAATGAAAGTTGTAGTAGACTCAAAAAATGAACACGTGGATAAAGATCATTAAAATCTGATATCGTATGAAGAAGTTACGATGTTCAAAATACAAGACCTAAGCCAAATCACAAGACTTACGCAACCAAGCAGTCGAGATCGCATTGGACATAAGCATCAACTACCCCAAGCACCTCATCAATGATTGTCTCACGTAAGATGTCGTGAAAAAAACCTAAAGAAATCATTCATAAGTACTGAATGAGTACAAAAAAAGGACTTATTTTGAAACAAAAAAAAAATGTTAAGGACTAAATATGTACAAAAATATTAAGGACTAAATGTGTACAAAATGAAAAATATATTACCCTATCAAGTCATTTTTCCCGGCTAACCTGGAGTAACAAGTCATAAGGACTAAATGTGTACAGTTTAACAAGTTTAAGGGGTAAATGTGGACGGAAAAAAAACTCAGTGACCAAATGTGTACAAATCGAATAATATGTTACCCTTTTAAGTCATTATCCCTTAATAATAAAACATACATTATTTACACTTGACCCCCTTTAGAATGTTGCCATCTAATTATTTTTGCCATTGTTTTTTTTGGTTATAATGTTAGTAGTTTTTACTTTATAATCAGATATTTATTTAATTTATAATATTATTTTTTGATTTTTTTTGTTCTTTTGTATCATACAAACGCTCAATTTAAATTAGAGGATAAATTGTTTACTTTTAAAGTTATTGATTGAGAATTTGAGCTAGTTATCGTTTGTCTAAATGGTAAATTAGTGCCATATGTTTTATTTTGGTAAGTGCGTAATGAAAGGTTTCATTGGAAGTCTTGCATTCCTTCTTTTCTTGCTTACATTGCTTAAATAAATTAGATATAGATTGTTTAGAAGATATAGGAACATGACATTGCTTTATAGGAACATGACATTGCTTAACATTTGAACTTAATATTTTAAAATACCAAGTTACCCGTCAGGCCATAAGGGGCGTGCTTAGTATGGACCACAAATCGTACCATATATATATATATATATATATATATATATATAATATATATATATATATATATATATATATATTATATATATATATATGTGTGTGGGGACCACAAATCATACTATATATATATGTGTGTGTGTGTGCGCGCGCGCGCGTGCGTGTGTGTGCTCATCAGCATCCCATATGGCTGCTGATTGTTGCAAATTTCGAAAATAAAAAAAAATTTGTCAAATTTTTTTTTGAGCCTAGATATGGCTTAGACACACTGTTTTAAGAAAATTGATGTTTTTGGTGTTGAAAAATGATGAGTTGATTATGAGTTCGCAAGTTTAGTTTATAGTCTGTACATGATTTCGTTTGAAAACGAATCGGAATGAGGTTTTTTTCAAAGTGTAGTTTATAGTTTATACATGATTGTAGACTATATTTTTGTCATTTTGATTTCATATTCATTGACTTGCAGTCCCCCAAAGTTGTGATATTAAAGTTAAAAATTTTCTATTTTTCAGTTTTTTTTTTTTTTTTTTTTTCAATGAGTTTTAAAACGCGCATATCTAAATCATTTGAAGTCAGATTAGTATGCAATTTTTTCCAACGTGTAATTTAGAGTTTGTACATGTTCTTAGACTATAATTTCGTCATTTTTGGTTTCATATTCATTGACTTACAGTCCACATGTAGTTTAGAGTTTGTACATGATTTTAAACTATAATTCTGTCATTTTTGATTTAATATTCAACGGCGTATAGTCCCCCGAAGTTGGGATATTAAAGCTGAAAATTTTCAAAGTTCAACCCACTAAGTAATTACCAAAAAATTCCTATTTGGTAATTACTAATTTTTAGCCACTAATTTTGATGAGAATAATTATCAGATTTGAGAATGTAAGAACAATTTTTAGCCACTAATTTTACAAGATGACAAACTTGTAAATATATGAAAGTTCATATCGAAACATGAAAAATATAGTGTTTACAACAAGCCTTTTAGTTGTTGGGGTTGTTTGATTCGTGGAACATGGTGGTTTTGCAATGGAAAAGAAAATTTTCCCATTTGTTTGGTTAATAAGTGGATTTTTTAATTCTATTGATTAGTTCATAGTTATATACATAGTCACATGGTTCGCTAAATTGGCCACAAACCATGAACTGGAACGATTCAAACTGGATCGCGGTACAAAAGCGTACAAATCGCCGGTGGTTCGCGATCTGGATCGCTATGGAAGGCGTACAAAATTTTGTGCCAAAATTCGATGGTTTGATGTACCATTTATTCATGGTTCGCAAATTAAATGGTGTTGGAACACGAACTAGACATCGAACCTGAGATTCCTCGTTCGATTTCCATTAATTAGTAACTTTAATTTTCGCTTTTCACATAAGCATTAATAGTTATGACTTCCATTTTCACATAACATTAATACTTCACTTCATACTAATAGTCATTAGACTTAATTTCTTATTTGGAACTTTAGTTTTACTCACTATATATACCGATTTCTATCATCCTCATCAAAAGATCCTAATTTTCGCTTTATGTTCTAAATTATTTTGAATTTTTTACTATGGTGTTTTGTCATATGGGTTATGTATTAAAGTATTTTCACTGAATATTGAATATTTGATTATTAATATCGGTATTATTTTTTGGAATTAATATAATTTATTTTTTATATGGTGCATCATACCACTATAATTGGTACATCGTACCCGAGCGAACCAAAATGAGCCTACCCCCTCGTACCGGATTTTAGAGACCTAGCAAACTGCGAACCGCGAACCCGTTCACGTACCGGAGCGAACCCAATTCCATGTGACTGGTTATATAATGTTTAACCATTTTTTAAATTTTTTTATCTAGTTTTCTTTAAATTTTTTGAGGAAAAGAAGGTATTGTGAAACTTTCTTGTTTGAGTCTTTTACCTAATTGACCCCACCGTTTTCTATCGGTGATGAAGTGAAGGTATATTATACTTTGTTTATATTGTTTTATTGGTTTATAGATTTTGTTTAAAATTGTTATTTTATTGTTCTAGATAGGAACTATGGAAGCAAATGTTTTGAGAAGAACAATTAGTGGGGTTGCAATGATCAACAAGGGTAAAGTTTGAATTTGCCCTTTGACATGAAATCGATAAAGGAGATAAATATATTAGATGTCGTTAATATACGTGAATACAATTCGTACACATCTAAGTACACCATTGTAAACGATATAGGTAGATTGAATGTCGTAAGAGGGCTCCAAGCTGTACTTTTCAATTCTGACGATGTAGTCTACGATGTTACTCCCGGATGTTACACATCGCTCTGCGAAGGTGATGAGTTATTAAGGTTACAACACAATGCACTAAGCGGAAAATTATTCAAACAATTCAAATAAATTAGGGCACATGCAACCTAGTTAGATCTATGTCTTTCAAGAATAGACACATACTATGAACCCTAGGTTATAAAACTTTTCCTATGAACTAATCAAATCATAAGAACAAGAAAAACTAACATTTAAGATTGTTGTTGTAAACAATCTTGAATCCTTGCTTGAAAGCCTTTGGTAGCAAGTGCCACAAGTGTCACGCTTCTAATGGTTCACAAACACACTTAGCAAGAGGATGAGAT